ACACACACACACACACATACACAGATATCTTGAATATGAGTATGTGCATATATATATATATATATATATATATATATATATATATATATATATATATATATATATGCATAGTATATATATATATATATATATATATATATATATATATATATATATATATATATATATATATGTATATATACACACACACATACATATATACATATATATATATATATATATATATATATATATATATATATATATATATATATATAATATATATATACGTGATTACTTGTGTAATATGAATATACATATAGATACGTAATGAATATACGCATCCACACGCCGTAGAGACACCCCCGAGAGGCGCCAATTAGCTCACCGTCCTCTCCGCTCCCGACGCAGGCGAAGGCGCAGACGAAGTGCCGCTGTCGTCGCGCTCCCCCGCACTCCGGCCGCAGCAGCAGTAACGCGCGGCCATAAACAAGGATCTAGTCTGTTGATGATAACATTTAAATTGCGATGGGATTTGATTTAGGGATTCGCCAAATCCGGGTTGTGGTATGGCGGGGTGTGGGCGGCGAATCGACCTTAGTTTTTGAATAGATAAGTGTTTCGAAGAAAGGAGAGAGAGGGAGAGAGGGAGAGGGGAGAGAGGGGAGAGAGAGAGAGAGAGAGAGAGAGAGAGAGAGAGAGAGAGAGAGAGAGAGAGAGAGAGAGAGAGAGAGAGAGAGAGAGAGAGAGGAGAGAGAGAGAAGAGAGGAGAAGAGAGAAAGAAGTGAGTGAACTGTTGTTTTTGCACAGACACACACGGCCCACACATATATATATATATAGTTTAGATACACCAACAAATATAATTCATTCTCTTGCTCCGCACTTTCATTATCTTAAAAAAAAACACCATTTTATCACGATTCCTTTCTCAGTCTCTCCTTATCACACTTTCATCAACCTCCCCCTCTCATCCACCTTCCCCAACACCAAAACACACAGGCCCTTAATGCCAAAACAACACCAAATATCCCACAATTATAAGACTTACCTGCAGGCTCTCATTACATCGCCGATTCGACACTCTCACCTCGGCAGGAGAGAGAGAGGGGCGGGGAGAAGAGACGAACAGCGAGAGACGAGAGAAACGAAGGAGAAAGAGAGAGAGACGAGAAGAACCCCCTCCCCTTAATGCCAAAACAACACCAAATATCCCACCATTATAACACTTACCTGCTGGTTCTTATTACAACGGCGACGCGACACGCTCACTTCCTAGGTCTTCTCGGCAGAGGAGAGAAGGCCGGGGAGAAGAGACGAACAGCGAGAGACGAGAGAAACGAAGGAGAAGAGAGAGAGAGAGAAACGAGAAGAACCCCCCTCCCCGTGTGACTGGTACTCCCAACCCGGCTACTCATGTGTGCGTTCCTGTTTCTACTTACATACTTACATACTTACGTATTCGGAGACCCGCATCAGTCTGCGTCGCTTGGGGTTTGCGTAGATCGTTTTTTTTTTTTTTGTTTTTTTTTTTTTATCTTTCTCTTCCTCTATTTCTTTATGATTTCGTATTTTTTGTCTTTCTCTTTCTTTCTCTATTCTCTTTCCGTGTTTTTTCTTTTTCTCTTTATTCATTTGTTTATCTATTCCTTTTCGATTTTTTGTCTCTTCTTTTCTCTTTCTTTCTCTCTCTCTTTTCTTTATTCTTTTCGTATATTTTCTTTGACTTTCTTTACTCCTTTTCGTTTTTTTTCTCTCTCTCTTCTCTTTCTTTCATTTTTTTGTCTCTCTTTCTTTTCTTTTCCCTATATTCCTTTATTTTTGTCTTTTTTTTTCTCGCTTTTTTGTTTATTCTTTTTCGCCTTTTTGCCCTTTTTCTCTCTTTCTTTAGTCTTTTCCGTACTTTTTGTCTTTTGCTCTCGCTTTCTTTATTACTTTTCGCTTTTTTTGTCTTTTTTCTCTCGCTTTCTGTATTCCTCTTCGTTTTTTTTTTTTCTTTCTTTTCTTTGTCTTTATCCGCATTTGTCTTTTTTTTTTCTTTTTTCTCTTTTTTCTTTTTCGTATTTGTTTTGTTTTGCTCGTGTTTTTTTGGTTTTTGCGTATTCTTCTCTGTTTTCATTTCATTTATATTTTCGTTTCTTGTTTTTTTTTTTTTTTTGTATCTTCTTTCGCCCTTTCGCATTTGAATCGTTTTCTTTTTTTTTTTTTCTTTTTTTTTTTTTTTGTCGACTGCATTTTCGTATATTTTATTAGCTTTCACGTCTCCGTCCTTATAGACAAAACAAATGTGTGTGTGTGTGCTGTGTGTGGTGTGTGTGTGTGTGTGTTGTGTGTGTGGTGTTTTTTCTTCTCCTTGTATGTCGTTTCCTGTCTTCTGTTTTTTCTTTGTTATTTCCATTGGCATTTTACCTTTCTTCTTTCCATATTCGTATTAAGTTGTTCATGTCAGACTTAGAAGAGAGAGAGAGAGAGAGAGAGAGAGAGAGAGAGAGAGAGAGAGAGAGAGAGAGAGAGAGAAGAGAGAGAGAGAGAGAGAGAGAGAGAGAAGAGAGAGACAGAGAGAGAGAGAGAGACAGAGAGAGAGAGAGAGAGAAGAGAAAGAGAGAGAAGAGGAGAGAAGAGGGTTGAGACTTTTTTCACTTTGATAACTATTGAGGCAAAATTTTACATCGCAATAGGATGGAGAGAGAAGAGAGAGAGAGAGAGAGAGAGAGAGAGAGAGAGAGAGAGAGAGAGAGAGAGAGAGAGAGAGAGAGAGAGGAGAGAGAGAGAGAGAGAGAGAGAGAGAGAGAGAGAGAGAGAGACAGACAGACAGACAGACAGACAGACAGACAGACAGACAGAGACAGAAGACAGACAGACAGAGACAGAGACAGAGAAGAGACAGAGACAGAGACAGAAGTATCAGAGACAGATAGACCGACCGACCTACAAAATACACATAGAGAAATTACGAAGGATTTCCTGTACAAATGTCCAACATAACAATTCCTTACACAAAATCTAATCATACAGGTAATAGCAATTCTCATAAAAACAATATATGATTGACAATGAGGGCATAATCATTACTAACGGACGGATATGTCAAAAGTCGTGGTACCAACATCCAAGATTAGTCATCGATATATTGTTTCATAAATGTGTAACACCGAAATCTTCCCGGTATCCCCTTCATTATAAAGGGTTGACCTCTAGCGATATTGCAGTATTTAGAGTGTGATAAGAACGTGAATTTAGTGAAGTATTTTGGTGTGTGATGTAACTTTTACTGGAATGTTCAAATAATTCGGACGTTTCATAAGACTATTACTAATTTCATGTTATTTCATGATCATTATCGTTGCGACTGTTGTGTGGTCAATGTTACTACTACACTACTACAGCTACTACTAAATTTATCTTTTTATTGACTGTAACTATTGTCTAAAACAGGTGGACTGGTCTGTTGTCGATCACGAAACTTGTTGTTAAGCCATCCTTCAAAATGTAGGCCTAAAAATAGCTTTCTTTGGTTCAACATATCTGTGTATATCCACATTTTTATGCACGATGAACATCAGGCTAATAGACCCATTCACTCTTTCAAGAAGAGTTTGTCTCTTAATGAATTATTAAGATTTATCCTTTGGCTATCTGAAAATTAGGACCGATGACGTAAAATCTGTTTTCCACACTGAAATAATTTTGTAAACTATTTCTATTGCCGTTTCTGATTTTGAATTGGAAATTAAGCTGTTGCACGTTTGGTGGGTATGTTATTCTTGATATATGTTCAACGCTTTCCTGTTACATATTCACCCCAACTTTGTATCCTGTATCCGTCATTTAAACTTCTATTGGTTGGTTCATTTACAATTTCAACAACCTTGTAATGGAAGTACATCAATACGCTTCAAGAAGTATATTTCTATATATGTTTATCAATTAATTTATTAATCTCATTTCTTATGTGATATACGCTGAAAATCCTTAACTTTATTGAACTTCGTTTTCTTGCATGTTGAAAAGACCTTAAGCTGCTGCTGTCACATCATGTCAAAAAATCAGTACAATATCTTTTCACAAAATTACAAGCCTTAGTTATTACGAAGAAAAATTAAAGATGCTGTTTCGTAATATTTACTCAGTGAAATGACACTCTACGGTATAACTGCTTCAGAAATGGAATTTGTTCGCCTTTATACTGTTTGGCAACTGCTGATACCAATGTTTTTATAAAAATGCTGCTTAAAATGAAATGTGAGTCTAACACATAGTGAATCGTGTGTTTCGGTAATTTATTACATATCCGGAATCACGTTAAGATATTGGCATTCTAGATTGACCATTCATAAAACGTGTGTATCACGATACATACCGAATCATCAGATACCTGAATTTATCAAAGACCATATGCCTATGAGACTGATTATTATTTATGACTTCTCTACTTTTATATATTTTAGTACGAAATTCTTTTCAAGCAGAGTGGGCACTCGTCTACGATACATCAAGAGAGAATGTGGTCAAAAGGGCCTGTTATAACTGACGGGGCCTAAAGGGTTTGCTTTCCTCCACCTCAGTTATTTCAAAACGAATTTCAAATCCAGTTATAACCTAGGGAATATGCGCGGCCTGTTACACAGACTTTTAGAATATCATAATTTCCTTTTTATTTTTCTTTATTCAGTACTTTTTGATATTAAGCGTGAAATAAAAAAAATAAATAACTATCCATTAACTTGATACAAATTTCATTCACGTCTATAGACAGTGATAATCTTTGGTGATAACATTGATCATTGGTCAGTAATTCCAGCTCACAAAATTGAGACTGATTATAAATTGTTTATTTTCGCAAGTAGATGAAATATAATTTACTAGTATATTAGGCATATACATTTTAAAAGTTTACAGACATTTTACCAACAACTACTAAAATGTATCGAATAATAAATAGGGTGATGTACCTGACGATACTTGACCTGCTATTAGACTACTACACAAAAAAACGTCACAAAATACAAATACACGAAACT